AACGGCCGAAACATTGTAATAAATATGGCGACAAAGATGAGGACAATAGTCTGAATAATGTAAATAGTGTACATTATACCTCATCTCAGAAATATAGACAGATAAAAAAGCAGACTGCACAAAAGAAGAGTCTTTTTTTTTTCTTTTCTTCTTCTAGGGGATCATGGCTCTTCACAACCTTTTATTATGTGTCGCTGTTAACGGACTTTCTCCTTTTGCTAAGGCTTCTCTCCTCTACATTCTGCCTCCCATTTACACAAGCTTGTCAAGTAAGTAGCTTGCCGCCTTCCCCTGTCTCTCTTGCCCTCAATATGCCGTGTGACAGTTAAGTTTTCAAAGCCCTCCTTATCATCATGTCTCAAGCTATCTTGATTCTGAGTATGTGTACTTTCTGTTGCCATTCTCAGCATGCATTTGTAGAAACACATTTTTGTTGCTTCAAGTCTCCTCTTCATCTGTGATGAGACTGTCCAGCATTCACTGCCATATACAGGGACTGAGATGAGACTGTCCAGCATTCACTGCCATATACAGGGACTGAGATGAGACTGTCCAGCATTCACTGCCATATACAGGGACTGAGATGAGACTGTCCAGCATTCACTGCCATATACAGGGACTGAGATGATGAGACTGTCCATGCATTCACATTCCATATACAGGGACTGAGATGAGACTGTCCAGCATTCACTGCCATATACAGGGACTGAGATGAGACTGTCCAGCATTCACTGCCATATACAGGGACTGAGATGAGACTGTCCAGCATTCACTGCCATATACAGGGACTGAGATGAGACTGTCCAGCATTCACTGCCATATACAGTGACTGAGATTGCATAACAGTTCAATACTCTTTTCTTTGTTTCTCCTGTTTCTTAATAATTTACTTAGCTTTTGGAAGGCATCTTTCGCAATACCAACATACCTTTCTGTCCTCTATTAAAACACTTCCTAGATATTTAAATTGTTGTACTTGTTTGATTTTGGTATCTGCAATTGGTAATTTGCATGAAGAGAAAAAAAAGCAGATAATTGAGAACATTAAAAGTGATGGTGGTGGGGTATGTAAAATGAATCACACTGCAAACTATACAGAAGGCTTTTACCTAATATCAGTCCTCCTGTATGGTAAGGAATGCTGTACATTCTTCTCACAGCAAAATAAGAAATGTGGTTCTACAGAAAGATACTGAGCTGTTAGAGAAAATGTAAAATAAAAAAGACACTTATATTTAACATCAGAAAGAGAGAGTTGAAATTCCAGGGTGCATAATGAGGAAAGAGGGCTTGGAAAATTTGATACTCACAGTTCAGATTGAAGGGTCAGAGGAAAACAAAGCATGAACTTTAGTAAATGGATGGCAAAACAGGGTTTAGGAGAGATAGCAAAAAAAAAAAAATACGAGAGCTATAAATGGAAATAGTGGAGAGTCATGATTGGCAACATCCTGAAAGGACATGGCACATATAAGAAGTAATGGAATGAGTGACATTTGGCAATAAACACTTGAAGCATAGTTACAAATGTCTAAACTATTTTTGCACTTAGCAAACAAGAAGATAAATAATCTCTATGAGGTTATACAGTAAATTATTTGATTTCTATGACTTCAAGGAAGAATACAAATGATAAATGACAGTGGTGAGATTTTTGAGAGTCACCACAATTCACCTCATATCCCTTTTATTGACCCATTTTCTCTTTTGTGACATAAGACGAATATAGATACAGGAAGTAAAAACTATGGGTTATGAGTAGGTAAGCACTTCCTCCTATATACTCTGGACCATTGCACCAATAATTTTAGCCTGATAATTATTCTCAAGGAAATATAGTTCTCCAGATAAATTCTTGATTGCAATTGAAATGAGGAGGCTATTTCTAAAAGTATTCAGCTCAACCCTTCCTCTTAATGCACTCAAGTTATAGTGACCTCTAATTAATGACACTAGGAAAGAATGATCATTGATTACTTTTCTGACTGTGAACCACTTCACATTGTTAGATGTGCACTCCTTATCAAAGAAATGACAAACTGGTGAACACTATGATGCAATTTCAATTCTTTAATACAACTGACATAAAATCCAGAAACTTACAGAATATAAGCCTTATACATTTTTTGAGGTCTGTCGTTAGCCACATCAATTCTGACAGATTCAATTGAACTTGCCTGCTTTTTAGCAATTTAGGTACAACTTTATTATCAACCACTCTCTTTCTGATGCATTTATTTACATGAATGGCACAATCGTTTGGGAGGAAATATAAGAAAGAACCTGATACTAACCTCAAGAGATTTTACTAAGGATGATTAGAAATTTAACTTGACCTGCAAACACAAGTGCACATTCTCTGTGACTTCTGTGAACTTTTTTTTTATACTATTTTTCACTAGAATACAAGGCCCAAGAACCACTCAAGGTAGAGAATGTGATTGTTGTCAGGAGGTAAAGAGAGGAAGAAGAGTGCATATTATGAAGATATGTTGGATAGGTAACAGTTGACTCTAGACTTGAAGAGGCTAAGGTTTTACTGGTTTGGGAAGCATCCTCTTGGGAGTGACACTTCTGGGGAACTTACATTTCATACCTCTCATATTTCTTGACACACTTATCCTTTGACATGTACATATATTATACATAAATCAAGCGCAAATAATTAAGTTTTGTAATGCTACAGGGGCATAAGTTTCCTCTCTTATGCACATCATATCTAGTATCTGTGCTTGCATGTTCTTGGTTTGATTTGTTTGGTTTTATGGTATATCAACACCTTAATGGGTTATTTAATGCCAACAAGATTTTTAGTGCTGGTAATATTTTTTCCAAAAATGTATTGCTGGTAATACTTTTTTGTTGAAAAATGCATTGCTGGTAATATTTTTTCCTTCAGAAATGCATTGCTGGTAATATTTTTTTTCCTTCCAAAATGCATTGTTGGTAATATTTTTACAAAAATGTATTGCTGGTATTAAAACCAATTTTTTTCACTTTCATAGTGTTTTAACTCCAGTTTGGTGGTTAACTATTTGCCTATACTGGGACCCTAACAGATGCTCCCACCCTGGGTCAGGATGGCCATGGAAACACCAGCAATTAAGAGGTGGATCCACACTCATCAAAACCTTATCATCAGAGACCTGGCTGTTGGATGTAGTTTATTGTTTTACCCAGGATGCACATGTTCTTGAAATGGGTCCCTTCTACTCTAGGTAGTGAATACTTGATCTACTAGGGGAATGTTAGTATTATAACATTGCTTGCTCAGAAATGAAGGTATGATTATTTTGCTTTTAAACTGAGACATTAGATCCAGACTAGATATTCGTTGGATGAAGACAACTCAAGGTAGAGAATTGCTGAATGAGATTGTTGTCAGGATCTAAAGAGATGAGCGAGAGTGTATATTATGAAAATATGTAAGATAGGTAACAGTTTACTTAAAGAGGCTAATATTATAGTGGTCAAGGAAGCATCCTCTTGGGAGTGACACTACTGGGAAATAATCTGAATGGAACTTTCTCAGTGGAATATGAAGAGAATAAGGATGGCATACATGGAATAGCTGTTCCTAGCCATGAAGCTCAGAACTGGTGGAACTAAGGAATGTTGGAAAATTTTCTATACAAATAGTGACAGAGTAGTGAAATTCTAGCAATGTTTTGTCCATAGAAATCAGGGTGGGAAATAATTCATCACCCACAAGGCCGCCTAATCACTTTTGAACTCTGTTAAGACTGAATAGTTGAGATACAGCAGCAATACTCCATTTTTAGTTTTGATCTTAGTTTTGTAAAAATAGAGCATGACAGAGTTAAGTACTTTCTGGAGTGGTCCAAGGAACTGACCATTCTCTCCTGCATCTTTAGCAACGGTAAAAACATATGAGTTCCATTTGAGGTTTGGAGTGAGCTTCAGTTGTAACAGATGTTTGAGGAAAGAACCTCACTGAATATACAACCTCATACCTTCAGTCAGTTAAGTGCCACACGTGTTACATGCTTGGGCAATCACATCTCTTTCAATTCATGACTGACCATGCAGAAAATTTTCCTGCAGTTGGTTGCCATTTATTTCTGCAGTAGACTGGTTGCCAACCTAAGCTATAGAACCCAGTCTGTCCTGCTATTTAACCCATAACTGGGGGTGGAAGAGATGGATTCATACCTTTTCCAAGGGTATTTGCACTTAAGTAAATCTAATGAACTTGATTAGAATTCAAACTTGACTCTCTGATTTCTCACTCTGAGCTGCACAATGCACATTCAGATTATACATTAATGAGTTTAAAATCGAACCTGATCTTTGTTATGATTGATTGATTGATTCTTTTTTTATGGCTTATCAACCCATTGCAGGCTATTTAAAGTCAGAAAATATTTTTACAGTCTAAGAATTTTTTTTGTTTTGGTAGATGATGATAATTTTTTGTTTTGGGAGATGATAATTTTTTTGTTTTGGGAGATGATAATTTTTTGTTTTGGGAGATGATAATTTTTTTGTTTTGGGAGATGATAATTTTTTGTTTTGGGAGATGATAATTTTTTTGTTTTGGGAGATGATAATTTTTTGTTTTGGGAGATGATGATAATTTTTTCGTTTTGGGAGATGATAATTTTTTCGTTTTGGGAGATGATGATAATTTAGTGATACAAATTTAACCCATAAATGGGTTTAATTAATTATTTAAGAGGTGGATTCATATCTTTCCCAAAGGTAATTGCATGTAAGTGTATATAATGAACCTAGCAGGAATTGCAAGTCAGCTCACCAATTAAAAATTCTAAGCCATTATTCATTACACCAACTCACATGAGCTTACAGTACCTGCTATTCCCAAAATGGTCACCCATCTAGGTACTGATGTTGCTTAACTTCAGTGGTCATATGGGAACCAAAGTTTCAAAGAAAGATTTTGGCTTGTTAAAGAACTTTCTAATGACATGAATTCACAACATTATTCAGTAGGTATATTCTGATACTGTTCCTGGCTCGTTGAAACACTGGTTCTTGTATGATCCCCAAAGTTAAGCAACATCAAGCTTGGTCAGTACCTAGATGGATGACTGCTTGGAAATACCAGGTGGTGCAATAGATAATGGAATTGTCCAGTCAGGTTCATTATATATTCACTTACATGCAAATATCCTTGGGAAAGATATGAAGCCATTTCTTCTTTCCCCAACTATGGGTTAATTAGTTAGTAGGACTTATATCAGTAAACATTATTACCTCCAGAAATTTCTTAAAAATATTTTCTAGCTTAAGATAACCTGCAAATTGTTGATAAGATGTAAAAATAATAAATCAATCAATCTTGCTTTGTTTTTGCTTTTGCTTATTTAAAATACGGCATCTCAAATCTATCTATGCCTGCTTTCATTCGGATAGAGGTATGTCATTAATGTAATATAAGAAACTTATTGTATAGCCTTGTAATTTCCACTCCTTGTATTCCTCGGGACAATGGTCGATGTGAGCAGTTTCATAGAATTTTACCAATATACAAGCTGCAATCTTTGCATTCAAAATCACAAGACTTGCTTATTACTCACTGGAAGTTTGTTTTAGACTTAAGTGTATATTGCATTCAGTACACACTCTGCTACTGGCTATTGCCAATGTTACTCCAATGCCAATTGATGAGTGGATTCTTTATTTCAACATAGTTATCATCATCTAGAACTTTCTTTTTGAAGCGTCATATTAGACCAGTGCTTCTTAAAATATGGGTCATGACCCCATTTGGGGTCCTGAAGCAAAATGCTGGGGTTGTAAAAATTCAATTTCTAGGTTAATTCACACACGATATTTAATGTGACACACCATGCAGGCACTGCAGTAATAAAACACATGTGCGGTACCATTGCAACTAATGAGTAACAACATATGTATTTTCAGTGTAGTTGGCTAATACCTGGGGTCGTGAAAAATCTCATGATGAAAAATGGGGTCATGAATGAAAAAACTTTAAAGAAGCGCTGTATTAGACAATTAAAAATACAACCGAATTGAATTTTTAACCAATCACTAATTTATATTTTGCTGTGAGAATCCTTATTATTTGCCCTTTTGAACAAAAAATATAACCCAATTGAATTTTCAACCTTATTTTCAATTACTAATTTATGTTTTGCAGTTCTTCCCCACATATCCTTATAAACTGTGTCTCTTAATCTGTAACCCTCCTCTTCATGGCGACAATTTACCCATCGCACCCGGTGGGTATGTGTTTTGATGTCAGTAATTTTATTTAGTGGGTGAGAGTCAAAGAGATTTTATTAGTTGATATATTCCCTTCTGTATTATAATGATTTTCATGTGTAATATAATTGTGGAATTTATTTCTTATTGAAATGCTATATAGATTATAGTCATGTGTACTGCTTTGTTCTTTGTTGAACAAAACCTTAAAAATGAACTCTGTTCTACTACAAATATATTTGAATTTCTATGAGATCATATTTTATGCTGAGAAAATAGACAATGAATCTTTATGAAGAATCTAAAAAATTAAAATTTATCTTTTTTTTTAATTTTGTAAGTGATTTTTTTTTTTTAAATTTCAAAGAAGGTTGAATTTAGTTTTTGAATTTTTAAGAGCTTAGCAAATTAATATTATTTTAAAAAAAAGAAAGACAAGTGAATCATAGAAATAACAAGAGACCTTAAAAAGACCCAAGTATTTCAAAACCCTTTTTCCACAAATATTTTAGCAACAGTACACCGGAGTATTGGTATGTCACTTGTTTGTTTACCTCCAGGTTGGAGATTGTAATCAGTGCAGCATTTCTTTTATTTCCTCAATCTGTTTTTAGCACAGCATGATCAACGAATGAAATTGACATTGACGTTTGTTGTAATGCAATGGATATTGGCTCAGAATGAAAGGCATGTTTGAATTACAGTCAACTTCAGTACATTCACTTACGTGCAAATACCCTATGGGTTGAATGGTAGGACAAAATAGGTCCTATAGCCTTGGTTGGTAATCGGTCTATCATAGAAAGATATGGCAACCTACAGCCTAGTTAGTCATGAATTGAAAGAATCATGATCACCCAAGCGTGTAACAAGTACAGCACTTAACTGACTCATTGTTCAAAAAGCATGACAACATTTAAGTAATTTTGTCATTGCATTGATAATATTTTCTGTGTTAATGATTTGAGATTTTTATCTATGCAATCAAACTCTATTGTCAGATGTGAGAATGCATTCTGATATTTAAAATGAATTAAAAGTAAATGGAGGCACAGTAGAGTAATGGATTGTGACTTGGATTGAGGAATCAGAGAGCATTCACTTACATTCTAATACCCTTATGAAAGGTATGAATCCAATTCTTCTCCCCCAGCTATGAATAAATAGTAGGACAGAGTGAGTTGTATAGCCTTGGGTGGCAACCAGTCTAGGAGAAGGAAAATGCTAAATTCAAAACTATATGTATCACATACTATGCAGCTAAGGAAAGGATTATTCACATTGACTCAATGGTCCTGACTATGGTTGACTCATTATTATTATATGTTGTAGCATACCTATGGATGATAATGGGTATGTCCCTATTCACATAAATACAGTAGTAAATACTGTATGTTGGTCTGCAGCTGGAGATTCATTGTGGAATTCACATGACACACTTCTAGCAGTTGACTACTTCTACCCATTGCTGGCGAATCTTATATAAGTTGTTTGTGTGCTAAGTATTATCGTTCATTACCAACCTTCGTGTGATTATTCTATTCAGTAACCTTCCATATGTTACAACATATTAAAAATATCCAAAGAAAACTAACATGAATCATACCATTCAAAAATGATGGCTCTATGTAAGTAATTTTGCCATTGCATTGGTTATATTTTCTGTATTAGTAATATAGGATGTTTTTTATTTACATTATTTATAGTCAGACTAGTGTCCTCATCTTTGTTGTTGTTCTCACAATGTTTTGGTCATTGTGGTCTCTGGTCATCTTCAAGGTAATGATCAGGGAATTTTGAACTGAAACCTTTGTTTAATCTATGAGGATAGACTTTTCTTGTTTTCACTGTCCATGTCTAAGGATATATCATCTTGTTCTTTTTTAGCACCGCTTTTTTCTCTACAATTACCTCTATTGTCTCTTTTCTCTAATCCTGCTTTTTAAATAATGAAAATCAAAAATATCTAAAGAAAGCTAACATGAAACAAATACATAAATAAAGAACAGTCAGATCCTTTATATTTGCTCATGGAATATTTTGTTAGAGAGATCAGGCTTTGTGACTGATAAATATATAAAATTACATTTTACCTTATATTGTGGTGGTTTTTTTCAATTTCAGTTGGGTTCATTATAGTAAATTACATGCAAATACCCTTTGGAAAGGTATGAATTCAACTCTTCTTCCCTATTTATGGGTTAATTAGTAAGCTTTGTACCTTCAAAACCATTATTATTTCAAAGAAATGCAAAAAAAAAAAAATGGCACTAAATGGCACTTTGTGAAGAAAATGGTGCAAAATCTCATTTTCTATTTTTCTCTTTAGCCACAGGTTGCCTTAGTGATAGAATGTTTTTCATTCTCTCCACCTGGGAGGGGGGTGTCAGTCCCCAGTGAACCACATGCCATGTTGGATACAGCACAACATACAAATAACCTGTTTTTACTCAACTACATACAGACATATCCAATAATTCTACCAAACCAACAAAGAACGCTTCTCAAAATGTAAGTCTCTTACAATCTTTCATAAAAACTTTACACATACATACATTAAGGAAAAATGTATGAGAAAGTGGGAAAAGTTTTCTGGTGATTTGTTTTGTCCTTTAGGACTTGATAGACTGATGAAGTCCTAAAGAACGAAACGCGTCACAAGAAAACTTTTTCCACTTTTTCATACATTTTCCTCAATATTGTTCTTGATATATCAAAATATATATTGTTATCTCACAAAAATACATACAAAAAGAGGATGTACCTACATACACAGCTTCATTCATCTCTTTTGTATTCTTTTCATTTAGCTTGCTTGGGTAATAAAATCAATTGTTGTTAAATGTATGTGTTATATAGGAATAAAGTGTCACTGCCAACACTTAAGTTTGAACAGAGATCACCAATGAGCAAAACACAGGCAATCCCATTATTGAATTAAGTAGACCATGTGACCATAGAGTAAATGCATATATGGGAGGTAGCATGTATCTAATTGATCTCCATTTCTAATATATCCTCTATTACTATTTCGATCGTTATTTCTACCCTATCCTCTATTACTATATGGATTACTATTTGAGTGAGTATAATTGAGCAAGTACTATTAGTGCAAGTGCTATTCAAAGGTGCCTGATACCAACATTGTTTAATGCTGTACTATAGTTGTATCTGCGATTACAAAGTCTCTACTACAATGAGCATTACGAAAGTGACAACAGACATTTGTTTGGCATCACAAAAATGGCAACAAATGTTCATTGACATCATAAAAGTATGTAATTATATATTCATTTTTATATAGTTGTTGGATAAATTTGGTTCGTTTTTTTCTATTTATTTTAATCCTGTTATTCATCAACAATTTTAACAAATCAGATAATAATATATTCTCTTTCGTTGTTCATGACTTCTTGCCAACATTCCACTAGCTATTAAATGCCTTAATGATAAAAAACACAGGGTGTTCTTGACTTGAAGAATTCCTTCAGCAAAATTTTCAACTTTATGTTGTTGTTGAACAAAACGCCTCACAGATTGTTGGAAAGTGACCAAAAAATGTGATAATCTGAAGGTGCTAAATCAGGAGAATATGGTGGGTGTGGTAGAACTTGAGACCCAAGCTACTGATTCAGTAGCTTGGGTGGCAAGTTCTACCACACCCACCATAATTTTTAGTCAGATTAGTGATGTGGGGTGTCACAAATGCTTATTTTTCTCTACTTGATACTCCATTGTCTGAAAAGAGGTAAAATTCAATCAAATATCAAAAATGCTAAACAAAAATTGTAGAGGAAGAATAGAGCTACAAAACAAAACATTAAAAACTATCGTAAAAATATTTTCTGTGTCAGTTCAAATAACAATGAAAAAAACAAACAAATTTAT